TTTTTCGTCCGGCCTTCCCACTCATTCAATAAGTAGTACATAGAGTATTCGCAAAACAAGCCAACTACGTGAATAATGTCTGCGGCGCCAACATCTTTGAACATCTAAAGACTACGCCGGAAAGCAACCTCTGCTAACAGTTATGTCTTGGAAACGATCTGCAAGGAAAGTCCCACAATTTTGACTTCACATGAACACATATGAGCCTCTCTTTGGGTGCCTGCCAACGTCGGTTTTCGTGACGCCTTTTCTATCGAATCGTCAGTTTTTCGAGGAAATCGCCACATATCAAGCATCGAATTGCAGGGTAATGAATGATACTGGAGAGCTCATGCAAACCACGACGACGAAAACGAGAAAATCAAAAAGAGGAAAAAAAGTTCTCTATCAGTTTGCAAGGTCCTAAATTTTTTAACTCTCTTATTTTTGAAATTCAAAATCCAAAATATCGCCTCCTTTAAAGGTGAAAGCATTTCTCTTATCACCACTGACTTTTCATGCATACTTCTGTTTATACTTCATGTTGTAATAATTAATTTGAGAAAGCCTTACTCCGGTAGTTTCCCTTGGGCTTCCTCGCCATTCATAAACTTTTAATATTTCGATATTTCTATTTTTTTTTGGTATAATTTCTAGCTAAACAATAAACTTGAATTTGAAACTTGAACTTAAGTTAAGGTGATCGCCTGGATTCGCGTATAATGCATGTTCCGGGCCGGGAGATTTGAGCAGACTGGTTTAAGCCGCTGTGAAGACACATGATTTTAAATAATCATTCCCTTGAAAATAAATACATAATACTTGTAAGGTTCTATAATATAATTTAAGCGCATAATAAATACGTCAGGAAAAATTCTTGAAGCATGCGTTAAACTTACCTCCTAATTTAAAATCGATGTTTCAGTTTCACTGATCGCAGTTGCAAAAACTCTCTCACACCTGCAATCTGTACTAAATGGTAGCAATATATATATCCTTTGTCTCTTTTTGCTATTTAGGTTATTTCCGAGTTATTTTCAGTATGTTGCGGGTTGCCTGCGTGGAGACGTCTCCTATTTCCTTTGTTGCACGTGGAAAAGGGACGTCAACACGATTAGCGACGGCGTTACGCAAACGTCCCTTTTCCGTGTGCAACAAAGGAAATAGGAGACGTCTGCACGCAGGCAAGTTGCGGGTTATTTTCAAATTTTTGATGCAGTTGAAGAACTGGCGAGAACAGATTGTTCAATTTTTACGTTAACTCGGATAATCCTCCCACATAACTTGAAAATATTGGCATAATAAGCTAATCTGTTTCCTGTTCCTGTTAATACAAAACACTTCATCACAGAGAACGCTCTTTTTCACAACAAGAAAAGAAACTATATATGAAGTTTTGGTAGAGTTTCTCACAGTCAATCTCGCTTCACATTTCTGGTTCCGGTAGTAGGCGCAGAAAACATAACCTTGCACTTTACGCTCGAGAAAAATTTTGAGTCGACTCGTGGGCTAGCCTGCTCACAGCCCTCTGTTTTCCCGTAAGATCGTCGAGAACGAGCGCTTTGCGTTACGGGTAGCCTCCCACGCAGACGTTCTAAGGGATTCGTCACGCTTTCAGACGAAACCGCAAGAACGTCTGCGTGGGAGGCTACGTTACGGGCTGCTATTGCATGAGTGTCAAAACTACTTAGGGGGCGGGGGCGGTTTGGGAGGAAGCGAGAAAAATAGAGGGACTGTAATAACATCACTGCTGTTCGCATTTAGGAGGCGTAACAGGAATTTCACGCCTTTTACCATTCATTAATTAAGAAACTCCGCTGGTAATGAAAACATGCCCGACACATTAGTATCTATTTCGCGTGTTTACAAATATCTCCTTTCGAAACAGCTATTCCTCCACTGAAATGAAATCAGCAAACATGCATAGGTGAAACATTTTCGGAATCAAAGCACTAAGCATGTTCGCTTCAACACAGATTAAAACGGTTAAACGCCCCGATAAAAAGCCACGCATTTCTGACAAGTCTTTTTTTCGTCGGCGTAGCGTTAGATTTCAGTTCGTTTAGCATAAACTGAGTTACAACATCCACCTGGCCGGGCTGCTTCAAACGTTTGTTGGCTTACGTGATTCATCCTCAGAATACCAACAATCCTTCGTGTTTTGGCGCAAGATGTGCCTTATGGTAGTATTATTGAATCGTACGTTTTACAGAAACGACGGCTTGTCCACGACTTGTGAGTGTCGGCAACTTAAACTAAACCCCATGTCATCGCAAATTAACATCTGTTGTCTATAAATGATCCATCAGACAACTGCGTTGCTGGTACAACGCGCTCCTTGATCACGAGCTGCAGTGATGTAATTACAGTCCCTCTATTTTTCTTGCCCCCCTCCCCCTACAGCTATAATCGCCGACGCCCGCCCCCCTCGGTACATTTGAAAATCAAGAGGGCCTCGACGATCTCACGAAAAAATAGGGGACTGTAAACAGTCTACTCATGGGCACGTCTATCTACTTAAGAGCCTTTTTACATGCTATGATGTCTGTCATGTTAGGAAAAAACTTCAATATCAAAATGCGAATCAACTTACGAAGCGCGTGACATATATATGTTTTTGGTATTTTTTTGGGCAGGGGATCATATAACAGGCAGGCAGGTCTTTCTTTACTACCTCTCGCGTAAAAGGCTGGACTGAAAACAATGTATGGTGGGTGAAGTGTGTTAACCTCAATAGTTTGGTCCGAATGACTCCTTAACCAGCAAATATCTTAATTCTACCAGTATGAAAGCCATGCAGTTGGCTTAGAATGTAAAGAAATTTATTTTTAGAAAGTGTATATCATTATTATATTCTAGGTTAGTTTGGCTCTTTTTAGCCTTGATGTTCAAAGGGTGTTAAAAGGATATTCGTGAGATAAACTGTTTACAACTTTAGTAAACATGGCTCTATGCATGGGTAAACAGTAACCCAAATACATGTAGGCATCCTATATGTAAATCAAGAGGATGCTTATTACTCCTAAAAATATAATTCGTGTCGTTTCCTTGCAAGCAAATTTTTTTTCGACGTGGTTTTTAGCATGTATGACTGAAGTCATTTGCGCCGCTAATCGTGACTTTTGAGTAGTGGCTAGTTTTATCATATAACCAGTACGGCCCCGCGCCCATTTTTTTCGGCAAACCGTATGAAAGAAGTCCCGTATGAGGGCCGTATGTGTCAAGTGATAATGCCGAAAAAACACATACGACCCCGCTAGAAGAGCGTACTGATCGATGCGGGTTGACACATTTTGTTATCCTATCAAGTCTAATTTTCTTTTTCAAAAGTGAGCGATAAAAGTGAACTTCCCGACAGCGAATTCTTAGAATTTGACTACCCAGGTCGACTGTCCGGGAGGAAACTTCTCTATCCTTGAGTACCAGTTAAGAATTCCGATTTACATTTTCTTTGTATTGAGTGAAAAAAGAGCACTTTTGACCTTGAATTTTTCTGAATACTTGTACTTTGCAGCTGTAAACTCGTTCAAATTCACTTCACTGGCTTTCCAAATGAATGGCATGAAATCATTGGCTATTTGAAAAGTGCGCACAAAAAGGGGTAAATGCTGCCATGGACGCGTTTTCGCTCCGTTAGAAAAATTCAAAACACAACGGCCATATGATAAAATGCTTATTGACTGAGTTAGATCGGGCGAAAGTATTTGGCTCTCGATCAGGACGCAGGACCTCGCTTAGCCTCTCACGCAGGCGTTTTTAGGGGAGCTCGTGTTTCGTCCCTCCCCACAAACGCGTTTGTAGGGAGGGACGAAATACGAGCTCCCTTAAAAAGGCCTGCGTGGGAGACTAGACCTCGCTGCGCTCCCGCCTCGGTCCGTACGTCCTGAACTGGAGCCAAATATTTTTTCGTCCGGCCTTCCCACTCATTCAATAAGTAGTACATAGAGTATTCGCAAAACAAGCCAACTACGTGAATAATGTCTGCGGCGCCAACATCTTTGAACATCTAAAGACTACGCCGGAAAGCAACCTCTGCTAACAGTTATGTCTTGGAAACGATCTGCAAGGAAAGTCCCACAATTTTGACTTCACATGAACACATATGAGCCTCTCTTTGGGTGCCTGCCAACGTCGGTTTTCGTGACGCCTTTTCTATCGAATCGTCAGTTTTTCGAGGAAATCGCCACATATCAAGCATCGAATTGCAGGGTAATGAATGATACTGGAGAGCTCATGCAAACCACGACGACGAAAACGAGAAAATCAAAAAGAGGAAAAGTTTTAAAACCAGAAAGCGTTGCACACTTGTTTTTGTTGCCATCGAAAGACTAACGTTGTCAAACCTGAACTGAATAGATCGCGATCGTGGCTTTCATATCTAGGATTGTTGTTTCATCACTTTCGATTTATTTTCAACTTTTGTTTCCGACCGGACATGAAAAAGGCGGTAAATGGGGTCAGGAGACGGCGTTTAATTTATTTTTGGACAAATCCGTTAAGCCTTTATCATCAGCTGTATCATGCATGACAATGCTAATTTGTTTTCATTTCTGGATGAACTACTACAATAGACAATAAAGCAAAAACTGTTGTTAACGTATTGCTTGACATTAAGTCACTAAGTCACGAAGAAGAAATTAACCTCTATCAGTGGATAACACAATTGGTTTTCCCAATACTTATCCGATTAATTATCCAGTGGAGCGCTGTCATCGGTTTAAAACAACTAGCCCAGAGGTTTTATTTCTCGCGTGCAGGAAATTAGACTGCGTACCAGGCGCTTGGAAGTAGTGGGCGAAAGAGAGAACGGGCGCGCGCGAGGGAGACACGCGTGTCTCCTTCTCGCGCGCCCGTTTCTTCTTGTGCCCACTACTTCCAAGCTCCTGCTAGCAGGAAATCGACGGATGTGGGTCAGTCAGGCCAACATCTAACGCTTACGAAGAGTCTCTTGCACCAAGGGTATAAGTTTCAGGAAGCGTAAAGGAATAACGAAATCGTTTATTTATTGTAACATAGTAAACCTGTGTACAACGGCCACTCTTTGCAGGAAGGCAACTGAACTTTGGGAAGTTGTCCGGTGACCGTAATATACAGGGTGACCGCTTCTTCAGGGCCGTTATATACAGGTTTGAGCGATGAACATTTAACTATAAGATGACATAAAATTACTAATCAACATGTAAGATTACACAGGGATTACCTAAATGAACATGACGAAGTAGAAGCTATGATTTCCGGTGGGAGATTGTTCCATTGTGCAATTGTCTTAGGGTAAAAATGTTGTGCATTGTCTCTTTTGTAGCTGGAAACGGTGCATTACAGTGATTTGGAGGGTACTTTGCGTTAAGGGAGCCTGCCTAGCATAATACCCGGGCATAATAACATTATGAATATGGCATAACCAGCCCAAAACGCTTCAAAACGACACAAGAACACATAATACAGCAAAAGTAAGTTTATTTTAATTCTTTTCTAGCACGATAAGCTATAAAGATAAGCTGATATTTTTTCTTTTTTTCCATTTAAACCCTATAAAACGGTACGTTATGCAATATTAGTAGATGTATTAATTTTAACATATATGCACTCACATACTGAGTTTGGGATGCCTGTGATTGAACTCAATTTTCAGTTCTTTCCGTGAGTGAAAAATAACTCCAATTGTATGGGTGAAGAAGCAATTTTATTGTAAGTTTAATAATTTTACCAACTGTTCATCAATGATAAATATACAGTGTACATAAATAAATCATAAATATATCTAGTAATGCGTATTCAATTAACAAATACGGGACCCGGAACTATGATTCAATGAACGTCATAACTATAAATAAGGCCTCTCCACCAGGGACCTTTTTAACTTCATGGTCTTCATGTTGGGATTACACCTCTGTGCAACACTCGTTTGTGCCTCATACAGTAGCATCCAGTTAGGGAGGGTTTAAACACATCCACTCACAGGGCAAAATCGCTCAAATGGGTGACTTGTGATGAGGGAAAGATGATCAGCATCGCCCGGCTCCTAAGGGTTAGGAGATGCTGTACTGTGTAGTTTAAACTTTGGATTCAAAAAGTGTCTGTTCTGTTCCTGGGGCTTGTACCTCCTTCTCAGTCTAACAAATGAATAAATAAATAAATAAATAATAAATAAATAAATAAATAAATAGAAAAAGAAATAAATAATGAAATGAACAATGAAATGTAGATAAACACCTCTCGGCTTAATATCAGTTAATAACCAGCTTTTTTAACCTTCCCGATCTGCATAATTCCTCACATCTCAGCTGACATCTTCCTCAGCATCATTCATGCAATAATTGCTAAGAAAAGGTACTATTAAACGCTCGTTCAATGATACAAGTATGAGGAATAGTGCATTATCCTTACTTTGATTAACTAGAATACTTAAAATGCAGTTATGGAATGAATAACAAAAGTATGGCCAGATGAATGAACCTCACAAATTTTGCATTTTCCGATGTATGGGTGATGTTTCTTTTGACAGTATAACTTTACGGACTGCTAGCAACCTCGTCCCCAGGGCTTTTCCCTTGGCGGGAAAAGGCCCTGGCATCGTGTGGTCACGTGTCCTCTCGTACACCCTAAAATCCTGGGTGTAATAAATTAGCGCTATGTGAGAAGCTAAATTATGCGTAACCTCACAGCGCGCGATTTTGGGCGACCTTTTAGGGTAGTTTCGAAAACGAAGCACTCGAAAACGAAGACCGAAGCACGAAGCACCCAAATCTCGAAAACGAAGCACCCAAAACTCGAAAACGAAGCACCCTCGATCGAAAACGAAGACCTCTAAATCTCGAAAACGAAGCACCCTAGATCGAAAACGAAGCACCCAAATCTCGAAAACGAAGACCCCAAAACTCGAAAACGAAGCACCTGAATCAGGTGGAGGCAGCGGATGCGTCCACACCTCCAAAGGTCCACAAAATCCATCCCAAGGTTTTATAAGAGCCTCCCAACTGTTTAACTGAATTTTTCTAGATAGGATATACTGTATTAATTTTATTATTGGTCTCGCTATACTTGATACATCTTACCTTAATATGCATTTTTTCGGTACACATACACGTTTATGTAGACTTCAAAACTGTCCGTCAGCAGATTTTGGCGTATTCAAGTACGCGTGAGCAGTAACACAAAAGGTCTGAAACGAGGCTGAAAACGGAGTGTGAGGCTCGCGCGTATTACTCTTACGCCACGCTTTACCGACTTCTTTACTGATTTTGAGAAAAAAACCGATTGTTTTGCAGTCTAACATATTGAATATGCAGGAGGTTACGCCCCCTCCCGATCGCAAAATTATCAAACTTCTAACATTTGTTCTCTTGTTTTCGCCGCTTCGATATCGTTAAGACTCGTAATGACGACGGCTACCACGTTTTCCCGCCAGAATGACGCTGGTTCGCGCGCGAGCACCACTTAGTTCTAAGAAAATCTCGTACTCGTCTTAAAATCTAAAGCCTGCGAATTTAACTGGCTTTTACTGGCAATACAGTAACATTCTAGAAATAGTTTGGGCGTTCTCGGTTTTCTGATCACGTCCAAAACATGGCCTCCCACCCGGCCTCCCACGCAGCGGCGGAAATGCATTTACAAGTTGAGCAGAATTGAACTGCATTCGATTCGTTATCGTACATAATTCCTGCTGTATTAGCATTGGTCTCGTGTTTATAAAGGACAGACCGGTGTCCAATTTTTGGGTGCTTCGTTTTCGATCTAGGGTGCTTCGTTTTCGACTTTTGGGTGCTTCGTTTTCAAGATTTAGGGTGCTTCGTTTTCGAGTTTGGGTGCTTCGTTTTCGATCTAGGGTGCTTCGTTTTCGAGTTTTGGGTGCTTCGTTTTCGAGATTTGGGTGCTTCGTGCTTTGGTCTTCGTTTTCGAGTGCTTCGTTTTCGTGACGATTAACGAAAAGTTTTACAAGATTTCCTTTTTGTCACAGATACTGGCTATGGTATTATTTTGCTTTCCTCCGATTTCTATGAAGGGAACAGCGAGTAACATTTATAACAACGTTTATAGAGCGATATGAGTACATATAAATGACAAACAAGCTATCGTACATGCATAAAGTTTGTACTGGAAAAGTCCGTTTTCGTGACTTTTCTCATATTTTGTTTCATTTCTCGCGAGGTGGACCGCCGTACACAGCCCAGTTCTATTTACCTTAACTCTCAGCCATATTATAGCGACACGCGTTGGTTTAGACTTATCTTGTATGACCTGTATTTTTAAAAACTTCATTGACTTCTGCGATCAAACGACTGGCAACAAAGAAAGACTTTGGCCCATTCAAAATTCACAGAGCTGTAGTTGATTCCATTCGATCGGTCAATCTTTCCTTTAATATAAGGAAAATCCTTTGTTCATATCCTCGGAAGAGAAAAGATATAAGAGGTCTTCAAATGTTTCAGATCGGCGACCTGTCATCGTTCCTGGCTGGAGGGCTGACTTGCATCCGGTGCGGAGATTTGTTTGTTTCATGGTCGGGTTGTAGAGAAGACCAGACTCCATAAAGCATTTTGATGAACAATTCTATTTCAATAAAGTTCAATTTGTTTAAATTCGCTGTAGATCCTGTTTGACATTGGACAAAAACACTCTCCGCTTGATCGTACAGCAATTCCACAGTCACGATGAATTTCTGAAGTACCACTCAATAACAGCTTGTCTCAACTCTGAAACATTTGATATATTTTGTACGTGATAACGTAGAGCCGGTACGCCCTTTCATAAACTTTTAGTATTTAATTTGAATAATACGCAATTAAATGGATCTTAAGCTTTTGAATCGCACACACGCGAAAATATTGACATCGTTCGCGTTGCTATTAGAGCGGTTTTCACTTGACTGTCGAAAGGGATTGGTTTTGGTTTTGGTTTTGGTTTTACTACGCCCTTTGGTTGGCTAGTGTATTTACTTTGGTTTTGGTTTTACGACAGTTAAGTGAAAACCGCTTTATTTTCCATTTTTACTCCCTTCTGTCAGCGTGTCAGCGCAAAACCAGCGGGTTGCATATAAATTAGCTTCTCAGGAATATTTAGGCTGTGCACGTGACCAGCCGATGGCAGGGCCTTTTCCCGCCCCACCCATTTTTTTAAGGGAAAAGCCCTGGGGACGAGGTTGGGACTTCTAGGAATCACATACTCTTTCAATTTTTCTAAGTTATAACCAAAAGAGACTGCCTGTGAAGAATAAAAATATTTAGCATACATACCCAGATCTGTGAGGCTATAAAACCAGCCATTTCTCTTTTCCTGCGGGATAAGTGATTATTTGGGCCTCGTTTTTTTTGCTGCTGTCTCCTTCTTTTTCTTGGATTAATGAATCCTTCAGCGTCATCTAACAGAACACAGCTTAAAAACAGCCATAAAGCAATGAAAATAAAGAGACGTTTGGAATCCATCGTTATTGTTCTTGGTTTGTGACGTAGTGAGCAATCAGTCTACAGTAACCTGTGGGACCAAGTGTGGTAAATTAATGATTTTAAAAATCAAGTTCTTTTTCCTTGTAATTTACGGCCGTCGATAATACCCGGAACATTTGTTGGGCGAGTGAGGGTCCATGCAAATGACAGTAATGAGTGAAGGCTTGCTTCTAAATTCAAAATATGTTAAAATGGGTCGCGAGGAGGGGGTTTTCAAGCTTCACTCACACAGCTACCTCTTGTAATTGTTTTCAATGAGTTAATCATTTGGCGGTTAACTGTTTACGGTTCTGCGATGGTCTGAAATATTGGTGCAGTATGTCATGTCAAGCCAAGTCGGTAATTAAGTAACTCATGTCAAGCCAACAAATAGTTAGACTGTTCACATTCCTCTATTTTTCCGTAAGATCATCGAGATCGAGAGGTTTGCGTTACGGGCTGCCATCGTCCATGAGTGTCAAAACTACTTAGGGGCGGGGGCGGTTTGGGAGGAAGCGAGAAAAGCGTGACAGGAATTTCACGCCTTTTACCATTCAGTAATTAAGAAACTCCGCTGGTGATGAAAAACATACCAGACACATTTAGCATCGATTACGCGCGTCTACAAATACCTCCTTTCGAAACAGTCATTTTATAATGTTTCTGGGCCATTCCTTGAAATAAAATCGGCAAACATGCACAAGAAAACATTTTCCTAATAAAAAAACAAAACAAAAATCCTTCGTGTGTTTGCGCAAGATGTGCCTTATCGTATAAAAGCGTACGTTTAATGGAAACATCGACTTGTCAACGACTGATCAATGTCGACAACTTAAACTAAACCCGTTGTCAACGCAAATTAACATCTATTGTCTAATGACCAATCGTTGCTGGTACAACGCGCTCCGTGAACGCGAGCTGCAGTGATGTTATTACAGTCCCTCTATTTTTCTCGCCCCCATCCCTCAAAACTATAATCTCCGACGCCCGCCCCCTTGGCACATTTGAAAATCAAGATAGCCGTGACGGTAAGACGCGGTATATCTAAACGATCTCACGAAAAAATAGGGGACTGTGAACAGTCTAACAAACAGTTATATATAACCGACACGTGCTTACTT